ACAGTTGAGGCCATGGAGGTGGTGCTGAGGGTTAGAGTTTATATCCTAAATGAGATAACAAGCCATTTAAGGGTTTGTATACTTTTGTGTAGTTGTTCAGACCATAGACTGTGGAGGAAATAACACTGATGCTTTTCTGGATGTTGGAAGTAAAGTAAGTTACAGGATAGATAAAGTCTCTGCGTTTATCGAGCTTTCTAAGACAGAGAGGCCTATCAGTATATAAAGAGCTTACAAGTAAATAAGGCAAAGTCAGACATGTAGATCATATGAAAGACACCTGTAAGATAATTAACTCTAAGCGAGAAGGACTTACTATTTAATTTACTCTTGCTGTTGGTTTTTGATAATTTCTAGTATTTTGATAATGATCCTGTCTTAAGAAAGCCTGCAATTTGAAAAACCAATTCTGTAAATTCATTCAACAATTAAATTTTAAACTTTATGCTCTTAACTCTTAACACTGAATCAATTTTTCAGTATCTTTAATATGTTTATGGTTATTTCAAACTTCTAATTTTTTACGTTTTTTATTGATCACATTAGTTCAAAGTGTAAAGGACAATTTATATACATATGTAAAATCTACAGATCACATTTAGAGAGATTTCTGATCTTGATGAGATAAAGACAAAGATTTGTTAAGAGAAAGTTTACGTAGTAAACATAAAAAGCCAAACAAACATTTATCCTATTTTTTGTGGAAACTTCTCTATTATTATGTGCAAGGTATAAATATCATGTCCTTCTGCTTATAAATGCAGATATTTTGTTTACTATAGGAAAAATAAACTGTTTCTTGGGATGTATAATATACACCAGAAAATGTTTCTTCAGTGGCCACACAGTACCTACATGGTGCAGCAATATCTTCTCCTCAAATAGTAAGCATATTTTTCAGCTTTACCTTATTTTTCTTTATAAAATTTGTGATAACCTATAAATACATAAATTTGTTCTGTGTATGTTTATACTTTTAACCATGTCTTTTTTTAACCTCTCAACCTTAATTTTTTGGTTGAGGAAATAGGCAACAGGAAATGCCAGGATACTATTAATGCAGACACTGTCTTAAAGATTATAACTTAAAAAGAGGATTTTCTAATGGAATTATTTCACTTCTCTCATTCTACATCTTACTACTAAAAATGTTTTAGAGAGCATATAACATCTCTTTATCTCCTGAGCATGTAGAATTATTTTCACCAAGGTAAACTGAGGACCTCAGTTGTTTCAGAAGCTTGTACTTAAAACTAACACTTTTTCGTTGGCATAAATTAGGATGCGTGCCATGGGTGGGACTGGACAGAGTGGAAGGGGACAGAGATAAGAGGAGGCTTCGCTTGGTTTTCTCATTTCTCATTACTTCTAAAATCTGCTTCTAAATCCTCAAACAGAATATTTTTAAATACAAAATAAAAGATGTGAAGTGAACATACAGAAGTAGCCACATGGAACATTCATACCAAACAAAAAGCAGGAGTGACTCCCTTTTTGACAGGCTTTTTATTAAGTAATTGTTTCTAAGTATAAAGCATCAAGCTGATGACTGATAAATCCATGAGAAAACAGAAGTTACATGCTAACAAATATCTATTTTTCTGCACTGAATTTTAGTTATTTTGGATAAGATTTCATTTCTAATCCTATGGCCACTTATATACATTTTCCTGGAGGGGTTCATATTCTAGCAACAATAATGATGCTTCAGAATCAATAATAGAGACGGCCAAGTAGTACAAAGGTATGCTAGTATACTAGGTAAACAGCATCCATTACAGCACATCCATTTATAGAACATTGTCTTTATGAAGCTTATTCCTTTTTGCACTTCTATATCAGACCAATCCTTGTTGACTCCTGAATTAGCCCTCTCTTGATAATCATTTTAAACTTTAAATGTTCAACGGGCCACTATAATTACACATAGTCATGTCTCATTCTTTTTTATTAAATTATGTTTATATATTTTTTATTTATCATGCCAGGACTGGGTAACTTTATTCAAGACTTTGACAAAATGATCCCCAAAGAAATATAAATGTAGACACTTTAAAATGTCCAGATGTGAAATTTCAAGAAAACTTTGAATTCAATCCAAAGTCAATGTTAAGTCAAAAGCTGAACCAGTTTTGCAAGTCATAAATACTATTTTTCCTTCTTAAGTTCACATATTTTCTGGGATAGATTGCCAACTTAGTTTTCTTTGATATTGGTATTTGGAATAATTTTAACATGATTTAACATCTTTAAGTTCTAAATCTATACTTATCCTGAATATCTTATTATAGTTAAAAACATAAATCCAGAAGTGACAACTCTTCTTTACAGAAGAATTCCAATAATAAATATAGAAGGATTGAGAGATATAGAAAATTATCATTAGAAACACCATAGGAGTAAACTGTCACAAGCAAGATCTGCCAATGGATAGTAAAATAAGCAAAAGTTCAAGCAGAAATGGGACATTTGCATAATCTCAGGGTATCTCCAGCAAATATTCAATAATTACAAGGAAAACACAGTAAGTTTGCAGTAGCGAATCCTAGCAGACACCACCTTAGCACAGTGATCAAGGTTAACAACACCGGAAATACATTACAATATCAGGTGTCCCCTGTTATGATTCACTGTCACAGACTGGAAGACACAACATAGACATGACAGCTAAATGCAAGGCTGGGTCTTGGAACAGTAAAAGGACGTTAGTGAAAAGACTAAAATCTCTACTTTTTAAACTTCCTACTTTACTTAGTATTATATCAAGGTTAATTTCTTAATTTTGACAAATGTTCTATTGTTATGTAAGATGTTAACATAAGGGCAAGGTGGGTGCAGAATATACAAGAACTCTACTATTTTTACAACTCTTCTGTAAGTCTAAAATTATCTCAAAAGCTTAAAATAACTGTTAGAAAACACACACATTTATGTGCATAACATGTGTATATATATAAATCAAGACTTCATGGAAATTGGCATCTTGGGCACTCAGTATAAGAGTAGTGTTCTCTTCTGAATTATTCATTGTCTTACTGCTGACTTAGCTTTAAGGTCCTCCCCCTTCTAGACTTTTAATCTCAAGTATAAATTTCTAATTTTCATAGAAAAGTCTTTTTTAAGCATTCATATATTAGGCCAAAAATAAAATCCTAGAATAAAATTATCCCTATATTATCTTATAAAATCACTCATCCCAACTATAAGACCCAGCCAGTATTTTTACTGCATTTCTTTTCCTCATCTAATATGTTTGTATTGGTTTCGTTTGGTTTATGAGTGGAGACAGCTAATAGATTTAGTATTTACTCCTAGGCCTGACAGTCTAGGGGAAAAAAAATAACACTTGGATATCTTATGAAGAAACAGCTGTTTTTCTAGATAGCCATTTAGCCTTAGCATTCTGCATAATTATAAACTATCAATTGGATTGATTTTCTATAAATTTCATCAGAAAATAAATGACACAATCTTTTTTAGTATCTTTATAAATTCAGTAATTACCATAAGACACCATGAGAGATACCTCTGAGCTCAAGTTCAGTAAAACCATGATTTACAGTTTATTTCTTATAAGATATTTTCAGATGATGATGTGATAAATTTGGTATGATCAGACATGATATCAGATAATTTTTAGTGAGTTTTCACAGAATAAATTGTTTCATCTTTTTTTTGTATGTATACAAATATAGGAGAAGTATATTTTTATTCTAAAAGTTTAAAAACAAATTTCTTATCAAGCTATAGAAAAGTCATGTTACATTATTCTTCTTTATTATTTTTCCCATAATTACTTTATTCCCTTCTAATTACATTTTTCATTAAGTCTATCAAAGTAAAAATTTTAATTGTCAGAAGTTCCCCCCACCCATGCTTTTACCTCTATGAAAATATTTTTCAATAATCTTAATCTTTTTCATATTCCCTTTTTAGTAATACTTAATAGTACTCTATTAATATATGTTTTTGTCCCAAATAACATGTGGATTTTCCTGGAAGTCACTGACCTAATTATTAAATGTTGTTTTCTTTTGGTTTGTTTTGTTGCAGAGGTTGTTTCTTGTCTTCTGAAACACTGACAATTGAACGTAACTCTTTAGGGTGATACTGCATATTTTTTTAAAGATTTCTTGCCTTTGGTCATATTTCTTATAAACATTTAAAAGTCATCTTTATACATGAAAATTACTATTAAAAATAAAACTTAAGTACATTTTATTGAGTATAAAAAATTAAGTATATTTAAATTGAAATGAAGCAGAATAACAATATAAAAATTAAAAGCTCAGATTGACTGTCGTCTTATTTTTATAGAGTTATCTTAAATATATTCTTGTTCCCACTAAAATTTCCTTTGCTAATAAAATCCCTTCAAGTTTTTCAATGTCTTTTCTGGTTTTCACTTTTCTGCCCTTTTAGTTGCATTTTGAATAATTTCTACAATTTCTAAAAGACAATCCATCCTTTTCTGCAAACAATCTCTTTATTTTTATCTTCTTTTCCTCATTAGTTGAATCTCTATTCTCCTAATATCCTGGATCATATTCCTCTTTTATCCTCCTCCTCCTAGTCTTTATTTCCTTTAATAGATATATTATTTCATTTTATTACCATAATGTGAGTTTTTTTTAACTTTACCTGTTTCATTTCATTTCAATGAAATTACGTGGATCCTAGGAATTTTCTCTCTATGGTTAGCCATTTTCAATCACACTTCTTATTTTATGATATTTACCTTCATTTTAATCTGGTTCCTTTCTAGTCATAGCCTCGGAAATTATTTTTCATTTGAATTAACTGACTTCCACACCTCTAGCTAAGGTTACCATATATTTTATTTCTCAAATAGGGACGTTTTCTGTGAGTGAAAAGAGGATAGCAGGAATTAATTAGATCTGTCTCAAATCTATAATACGGTCACATTACATCTGGAAGAGTAGAAATTAAAGAGTCAGAGCTTATTCTTGCTTTGTCTCTTTGTGTTTACTCACCAATAAGTGGAAAAATGGTTTCTTCTGATTTAAGTGGGAAAAGCCAACCCTAAACATAGGGAAAGTAGAAACGTCTCCTCCTTTCTTCTTCCCATCTAAGTAGATTTAGAACAAAGAGTTTGTTGGGTAGAGAATAGGAAAATTAAGGAAGAGCTGGAGATTAAATGATCACAATGCAGATAAAGCCCAATAGTAAAACGTTCCTTATTAGGGAAGAGTAGGGAATTATGGCAAACAGATGATTTTGGAACTCTTAAGCCAGGTATAGTCACATATCTAAAGCAGTAGGTTCTCAGCATGAGAGAATTGTAGTGATACATGTCTGGCGAGGGTAGAAAGCAGCCTGATTGGACATCAGGTGATGACTCATTTTTAAAAAGAAGATTGCATGAAGAGAGCAACAATTTGTCAATTAGGGTAAGATAATAGAAAATAAGAAGGTGGTCTGGTTACTAAAACTTGACAAAATGCAGACAGGTGGCCATGGGATCACCATATCACTTAATAATGAAAAATGTCCATTAGTTTTGTGAATTTAATAGGAAGCTATAGAACTATTGAATGAAATTTACTCTGACAAAAAAAAAAAAAAAATCATAGGCTGGAATGGATCTAAGTCTGCAAGTGGTGGCTTAATCATGGAAAGTATCTGAAGGACTGAGAACTAGATATCATAGTACGATGAAGTTTGGCCACTTAAAGGTACAAATTTCCTATCATATCTCTGGAGTTCTTGGGGCCTTAGAAAGATTAATTTTCAATTTATTTTTAAATACATATATATGCCCAGGTCAAATTTATAAATCTTTTATTTCTCTGTAAGTTTTTTACTGTTGAATTCTATACAAGACAATTATGGCTTTGCTCAATATTTTGCTCAAATCCTTATTAGTATAACCCAAAATATCTGAAAATGCTACATTATACAATTGCTGTATAATCTGGGACAGTTGTATATATATGTTTACATTTATACATGTATATTTTATGTTTATATTTAATATGTATTTAATTGACAGTTATTTCCAATACTACAAAAACTTAAGAAAGATTGTTTTGTGGTTTTCCCAAATGCTTTAGAACTATGTGGGCTTTACAGGTGTTTTACTGTTTTGCCTAACGAAGTGTGTGGATTTGTATAATGCAAAATACAAAGCAGAATATAATAGTATTTATCATCCTTATTCAAGACCACTGAGTCCTATGAAAGTAGATCTTGGTAGATACTTAAATATGAAATAACACAGGTATAATGTTTTGATTAGTACAAAAAAAAAAAAGCGAAAATCTGTTCCCTACAAATTGACCCAAGTATTGATGTAAAAAAGCCCTAATCTTTATTTATTTATCTCACTAATATTCATAAAGTATAAAAGTTTTAGTCTCTTCATTTGAACATCCATGTATAATACCATCTGGGAACTTCTTTGTTATTTGTGTAAATCATTAGATTTTCTGTAAAGATAAGCAAATATTTAGTAACATCATTATATCACTTGTAATGGAGTTAAGTATGATGGAGAAATAATGAATAAACAACCACCTTGGGTTGTTAAACAAGTGTATTCTAAAATTTTGAAATAACTTTAAGTCAATGTGCCTGGTTAAAACCTGCATTTAAATAAAACAATCTAATGCTGAATGTTGAGATTTATAAGATTTCAATTTGGGCAGTACAAAAGGAACCACACAAATTTTAAATCTTTAGATTTAAACAGGAACTCAATGAAAATTAAATTCAAAAACCTTTGCTCCTAGTTGAAGAGACAGATCTGGAAATTCAAAGAGGCTTGATAATCTGGTAAAAATCACACGGTCATTTAGCACTTGGATCAGACTCAACATCTGGGGAACGACACAGCTTCTCCTAGTTTATTTATATTCACATTTTAGCTGCCACATCACATTCAATTTTGATTGATATGAATTGAAATTTGATTCTGTTAATGCCAACTCATTGCAGTATAGCTTATTTAAACATCACACACAGAGGTATATACACTCAAACACAAACACATATACCTAAAGTGTCAATATTAATAGGCAAATGATGTTTTAATGATACCTGTTGTATTTGCTTATCAAGATATGTTTATATGTATATTACTAGTTTATAGCTATTTTGGTGGAAAAACAAATATTACCTTTTGAACTACTTAGAACATTGGTTTCTGTTTCTCTTATTCCAATTACCATTAATGGTATCTGAAGTCTATATTTCATCTTCCTTAGATATGCTAAGGATAACATCAGATTAATCAATTCACTGTATAAAGACAATACACATTCATTCGTGGAATAGTAAATGATCACATTTAATATACTCCGTATCATTTTTATTTTAAATTTTAAGTAGAGGGAAACCACACAGTTGGCACTGAAACATTAGAATATTACATTTAAATGTTAAACTTTTTTCAAATGTATTCCAGTTTATATTGCTATACTTTGTATAAGTGTGAGATGTGGAAACATATATATTTATAATTGTTCAGACATATATTACCAATGAATAATATAAGGCAGACTCTACCAGATTCTGATAAAAATGTAGCTGCACCAACCACATTCTGAAAAAAAAGTTAGTTTTCTAATAGGAATATGTATCACAATCAGAATCTCATTAGTTGTGATGTAAATTGTCTTTATCTTAAGGTTGTTATGGAAGTAGATGTCAATTATATTTAAAATTATAAAGCCTATGCAAGTAGAGAGAATATTTGTATTAGAAATATGAAAGTTTCATTCTTTTAACGAGTACACCTAAATAGTTGAAACAGTGAGTGTTTCTTGAATTATGCAATAAATTGAACTTGCTGAAAATTTGTTTTAATATTATTTTTACTGTGATGTGGATTGAAAAAGTGATAGAGACTAAACCATAATTATTGAATTTCAAAAGGTACCAAAAGGGTTTTTCACTATTTGACAAATAGATAATTATATATTACTTGGGAATTTACTATGTGAAAAGAAAGGGTTAACAAATGTTTAGAATGTCTTTTCCCTAACTCCAGGAATTTCTAAAAATTTGCTACTTAGCAGTGTTTTTATAATATCAATTAATAGAATTTATAGGATTATCCCTAGGTTGGTTCCAAGATAAATGAGAATTCTGCCTAAATTACTGTGAACCAGACCAAACATCCATATTTCGTTATCAGCATTATTTGTTGAGTAACAAGCAACTATCATTGTTGAGATGCAACTACACTAGAGAATGAGAACTGCCCAAGAGAGGACTACTAGAAATGTATAAAAGATATAGGACTGCTGTGATAATGGATTAATCTTCAGCAGATGACCTCTTCTCATCCACATTCTTTACATATGGTTATGTACATTCTGAGTGTAAATCATCAGTGGTTACACTGGGGAATTATGAAAACACTGCTATGCCTAGACATGTAATCTGTGTTATTACCTGTCCTGTTCCTTTCTTAAAACCAAGTACATTTGTTGCTGGTGAACTTTAATTTGTCAGGAGAGAATGAGTTTCAATCTGAACCCAAAATCACTGCTTCAGGTTGAGAATAATGTATATTGCCAAGTGGTATTTCAGATCCATGACCTAAGATGGCAAAGTCATTTAATGGTAAAGAAAAAGATGAAAGGTAAGCCTGGTGAGATTGATGAGGTTCTTATTAATCCACACATTGAAGAATGAAAGCTCTGTGTCAGATTATCAGATACAATTAATTTGATAAAAAGCTTTGAACCCCTAAGGAACTGTATAAATGGCTGGTTTTGCCATACCTCTACACTGGAAGGATTTTCTTCTCCCATAATTCTGCCAGGGATGAACGTAGATATGTGTCTTTTATTTCCTAAGAAATGCTAGTCACTTTATGGAATTAATTTATTTCAGTTTCTAGAAAATCTTCAACTCACTAATGAATTTAAAATAACTATGAACTATAACTTATTCAGGTATTATTTTTGTTAGATTAGAAATTACAGTATCTTGTAAAAATTTATAAAGAAATTGAACTACCATAGATAGACGGTTTTATGGCTTTTATGTTTCAAAAATAGTTTAAAATAGGCTTTACTTTTCTACTTAGCTTTGTTGGGGTATAAGTTGCATAAAATAAAGACAATTAATTTTAAGTATAGAGTTTGAGTTTTAAATGCCCCCAGAATACACACACAATAGTTAGATAACCCCTGAAAACAACAATATTTGCATCGATTTGAACTGTTTCCTAATACCTCTTTTAAGTCAACTAATTTCCTCCAAAATGACCAGGGGCAACCACTGTCTTACCTTTTGTCACTATATATCTATAAATAGATATAGATATAAGTTTGTTTATTTTAGATAAATAACTTGTAGCATGTAGAATACTGAGTTCTAGGGTATGTGTATATTTAATTGTGTAATAAATTGAGAAATTGTTTACCAAAGCAGTTCTATACTATTTTCGATCCCCAACAGCAATGTATGAGTTCCAGTTGCTCTATTGCTTGCTAACATTTGGTATTGTTAATCTTTTTCATTTTATTTATACTGTTGGGTATATACTGGTATCTCATTGTTTTTTACATTTGAATTATCTACAAACTAATGGAGTTCAACTTTTTTTACATTCTTACTTGCCATTTGTATATTTTCTTTGGTGAGTTTTTTCCAATCTGTTGTGTATTTTAATTGAATGCTTGTTTTCATATTGTTGCATTGTAAAAGTTAACAGCACCTTTTTTCAGACATATTATTTGTAAATATTTTCTCACAAACTGTAGCTTGAGAGTTTTTTTGTTTGTTTACTTAGCTGAAGTTAATATGCTTAAAATATTTAAGTTAAATTAATCATTCTTTTTTTCTATAGTGTTTTCTTTTGTGTACTATCTAATACATCTATGACCAACTTGAGGAATCAAATATTTCTCCAGTGTTTTTCAAATAAGTATTATAGATTTCACTCATATATTTAGATCTAGAATTCATCTTCAGTTATTTTCATGTGATACAATATAAAATAGAGTTTATTTTTATTAACAAAGATAAGTATGTTTTGTAGCATAATTTTTTTTAATATATGTCTCCAACTTAATTACTTTGGTGTCTTTGTCAAAAATTAATCAGTCATTGATATGATGGTTTCACTGATATATATAAATAACCAAAGCCAATAATACTTCATTACTGTTATTGAAGAAGAAGCTTCATCTTAACTTTGAAAATTATGTATTGAGAGTTACATAACTCTGTTCTCCCTTTTCAATATTGTTTAGGTAGTTTGCATTTCTATATAAATTTTGAATCAGCTTATTAATGTTTAAAAATATCTGCTTGGGTTTGATTGGAATTCATTAACTCTATAGATCAACTTGAGGAAAACGGACATCTTTTCTACATTTTAAATAGTGGATTTTATAGTATGTGAATAATATTTTGATAAAACTGTTATTAAAATTAAAAATTTTGTAAGATAAATGATAAATTGTTAAATTTATAAAAGGGAAAATATTTGAATGGCCACTTCTCCAGAAAAGACAAATGAATGACAAGTTAACATATAAAAATACGCTCACAATATGCATATTATTCAAGCAGGAAAGCAAATATGTCAAAGTTCTTCAAATTACATTTTCTAGATAGGTATATTTTTTGCACATCAATTATTCTTCAATAAAGCTGAGGAAAAGAAAAATATATAATTTGTGAAAGAAGGAGAAAACTGTGTTTATTGATATGCAATATTACTATAGGTAGAATAATGAACTTCCAAAGAGTGTCACATTCTAATTCCCAGAATATGTTACTTGGCAAAAAGGAGTTTGCAAATGTGATTAAGTTAAGAATCTTGAACTGCATGATTTTCTCAGATTATCTGAGTGAGCCTAATATAATTTCAAGGGTCTTTAAAAGATTAAGAGGGAGGCAGAAGTGTCAGTTTTAGAATGTTATTAAGACAGCGGAAGGGGTGAGAAAGTGACCCTGCAGGTGGAAAGACTCAACTGCCATTATTGACTCTGAAGACACAGAAAGCCATGAGCCATGTAATGTGCGCAGTCTCTAAATGTTGGAAAATGTAAAACACAAGCTAAAAAATTTTTCATATTTTGAAATGAAAAATCAGGTCTGATGACAACTTGATTTTCAACTTCCGACCTTCAGAACTGTCATATATGTTTGTGTTGATTTAAGCTCCTAAATTTGTAGCAACTTGTTACAGCAGCAAAAGGAAATGAATGCAAATATAATTGTTCACATATAGTTAAGAACTATAAAAAGACAGCTAAGAGTCATAAGTGAGTTTAGCAGATTAATTAAAGGTCAATATACAACAATCAATTGTATTTCTATATGTTGTGACAAAACAATAAAAACAAAATTAGAAAAACAGTATCATTTAAAATAAACATCAAGCTACATCAAGTACAGATGAATCAAACAAAATAGGCACAAGGCTTATACACTTCTGAGATCATGTATACATTTTTGAGAAGCGTATCAAAACCAGGATATTAGCATTGGTACTATTTGCCTATATAGTGCTATGCTATTTTGTCACATATGTAAATCTACTACCATTGCAAACACTGCATTCAAGACAGATTCCATCACCACAAACATCTCCATCTTAATATCTCTTTATAGTCAACTCCTATCCCTAAACCTTACAACCACTAATCAGTTTTCATTTTCTCTATAATTTTGTCATTTTCTGAATATTATATACATAGAATCAGACGTTATGTGATCTTTTGAGACTGGCTTTTTGCTAACAATAATTAACTTGAGATCTATCCAAGTTGTTGAGTGTATCAGTGATCTGTTGCGGACTTTTAAGATGGATGGGACAGCCTCCTATAGTTAAGAATGACCTCTGTCTGACAGTGAGCAAAAAAATAGAGACTTCAGCTCTACAACTTAACAGAATTTAATTCTATCAACAACCTGATTAAGACTAGAAGTAGATTATCCTTCACCCTTGAGTCTCCAGATAAAAGCCCAGGCTGACCAATACTTTGATTTCAGCCTATTGAGATTTTAAGCAAAGTAACTAGCCAAACTCACTTAACTTCTGGCCTACAGGAAATAGTCAATGAGTATTAAGCCATAAAAACAGCCCAGTGAAACTATCTGGACCTGATTTATTATAATTGAGTTACAGCTATTTCTTCCTGAGTCACATTTGGTAGGTTATGTCATCCAAGACATTTGTCCTTTTCATCTAACTATTATCCATAGCAGTCTACTCGTCCATGCTTGATATTGGTGATGTGTATCTGCAATCTGTCTCAAGGACTGTCACTGGCCTATCTGGGGATTGGTGAGGAATTCAGCTGGGGTTCTGGGCTGAAATATTTCTACATATGAACTTACTGTGAACTGGGTTTCCTCAATGCATAATAGCCTTGGAATTCGTACATGGTGCCTCAGGGATTCCATAGCTGCATAAAAACAGAGCCAGGTGAAAACTGTGTAGGCTTATTATAAACTTATCTCATAAGCCACAAGCCTATCTAGACTCAATCAGAGGGAATCCAGACTCTTCTTGTTGATGGGAGGAGTGTCAAAATCACATTTAAGAAGAGCTTGTAGGACAGAAGTTATTATTGTAATTTGCTTTGGAAAAAAAGATAGCCTGTCACAGTCATAAATATTTTCTTTAAAACCATCCTAAATCAGAACATGTGATTTGATTTCCAGCTTCAGTAGGTAGCATCTATTTGAGCATTTATTCAATAAATGGTTCTTGAGTGCTTAAAATATTGAGTGCTTAAAAGTTCTAGGTTCTGGGATACATCAGTTAAAAAAAATAGACAAAGAGGCCTACTGTTATGGAAATTATCTTCTGGCAGCATTAAATTTATATAGCGTTTGGGAGATTTAACATTCTGAGAATTTTGTGAGCTACCATAAATAAAAATATCTGAAGCCATAAAATAGGAGAGTTGAATACACAGAACATGTGCTACCACTATCTGTTCTGAGCTCAAAATCGACATAACTAATAAAACCAATCCTTTCTTCCTAATGATCATGAATGTTACCTCAGACTCCTCAATGGTAGCATGTTTGGTGCTGATTAACTTTTTCATGCAAGTTGCAAATTATTGGTCAAGGCAACTTTAAAATAGCAAAACTTAGGAATTTAGACAACTTCAATTCTAAAATTTCTAAAAATTTTTTCTAATTTTAGAAAAAAAAATCATGTTATGCATATCAGATAGATTTTTTAAATTATTTATTTAAGGAATAAATGAAACTCCATGTGACAGTCTGTACTTTAGGCAGAACACATGAATGTCATATAATACATAATACATTAAAATATATTTACCATGAAAAATGTGCCAATCTGTAAATTGTTCAATTGATAAAGCCAAATTTGAAAGATTAATTTAATATTATTCAAATAGTTTAGATTAGGATTAGAGTAAACATAGAGTTTGCTTATAAGTGGAATTTAAATAGTCACAGAAGGAAATAAAATGCATACCCTTTTTTGGTAAATGTACCAGAGGGCCGCTACATTCTTTTATCTTTAATTGAAAATTCCATGACTCTGATTAATAAGTTTCACAGGAGAAAAGCAGAATTTAAAAATCTCTACTTCTCTAAAATTCTCAGATCCTGAGCAGTTTACAAATATAATAGATATGTGTTCTTGGTTCCTTTTTTTCCTGCATAGCATAAATTATGGGTAAATGAACACTTGCAATTCAATAGTTGTTCTAGAAATAAACTATATTGTAGTGAGTTTTCACTGGACTTACATGGTTTAAGCTATTCTAAATACCGACCACACTCATATATATGTATATTTATATACTTTTAAATATATTTTTAAATGCATTTCTATTTATGCAAATGAATAACTATGAACAATTCATTTCTGCCATGCATAGCCAATCAACCTTCCATTAATAATGGAGAAAACTACGTTCTTAATGGCAGTTCTTCACAGGAATGGAGAAAGCTACAGTTTAAATGTGACAAAATGTCACAAACTATTTTTCAAGCTTTTTTAAAAAATTACCACACAACTTTTCTAATAATGTAGGCCCATTCATTTCACAAGAGAACTCAGTTTTTATGCTTATCCCTCATTCTCATATAATTATTATGATTTAATTTAAGAGAGGTTTAATATTATAAAATGTAAGTATATCTACAAAATATTTTTGGACAGTATGTTTTGGGTCATAATCAGAAATAAATAATAGAAAAATTTGAACAGATATGTCTATAAATTATATTTTATATGTGGCATAGTGATCTTTTATTAATATCTCAAATCTTATTTCCAGGTATAGTATAGTTAACTGTTTATGTGTTGTAAAAGAAAACAATGTGTCACGATTGTAAATCAGCACCAGGAATAAATGCAACATTGTCTTATCTTGGAGTTATAATTAAGAAATGATGTGTGAAACAGAATGTATCAAATATGATAATTAGACCAATATTATATTAAATAGCAACAGCAACTATTTATTTAATCATTAATACTTACAAAGTATCATGTAATAGTTTATTCCTGCACATTATATTTTGTAATGTTTACAGTAACCTTATGAGATAGGAAATTAGTATTATGCCCATTGTCAAGATGAGGAGATTGTGGCTTAGAAAGCTTAGTAATTTTATCAGCATATACCTCATAATTGATTAAAGCAGAAATCAAAACCTTATCTCTTCTATTCCAACATCAGAGCACTGCTGGATTATCGTGTTTCTCCAGCTGACTGAAGTGTTTACGAGACTTTTTTCATGGAATAGGTCTTATGCAGGTAATATAATTGGTTGAGAATTTTAAAAAATTAATGGGAGATAAACTTTAATAAAGAAAAATTACCTAAAGGCCAAATGAATAGCAATTAATGAAAACTGAACCCTATTAAATCATGTTGTTTAATAAAATATTGATGTTTCCCCTTCATCTTTATTAAGAATAATTTTCTTTACGAAGAGTCATGATCCTGTATTAATTAAAACAGTTTACGGTTTTGATAGGTGTTATTTGTAGTTCAATAGCTAAGTTATATGGAAGAATAAAAAGTAAAGTGATAATTTTGTTTCAAATAATATATGGCCATTCATAGTTTTCATATTTTAAATGATGTTTTTGCCTACTCTTCTGTTATCAAACACATTTTGCCAGTTTGACTGATTGTGCTTGAAGTGGCTGCAGAATAATAGGTTTTATCTATCACTTCTAAACCATAAGGGTGTCTGCTTATTTGGCATTATATTTAAAAATCCTTAAGGCCAAAAAATGTATGTTTGTATAAAATTGTTCAAGTTTGAAAATTACATTTTGAAGCTTATTACAAACACCTTTGCATACTCATCTTTATTAATGAATAATCAAACACTGTTAGGAGAAAATTACATTCAATGACTATTTCTCATTCTGGTTAGACAAAAATGTGTGGCACTGTTTCATACTGCCATATGGAAAAATAGATATTTCAACTACAGCTGTCTCTGACAATTTATTTTCCTAAATCATTGAGTTATTAGGTTTGGTTTTCTGTATTTATCAGATTAATAATGTAATTAACAACTTTCCACTTCATTTTATAGATAAATTTAATGTCTGCATATGTCCAAACATTTTACACCAGAAAATTAGATCAAAAATATAATTTTTTACATCGGGGTGTGTGTGTGTGTGGGGGGGGTATTAGTCCATTCTCATGTTGCCTTGAAGAATACCCAATACTAGGTAATTTATAAAGGAAAGAGGTTTAATTGATTCACAGTTCCACATTGCTTGAGAGGCCTTTGGAAACTTATGAACATGGTAATTCTATTCCAAGTCTAAAGACAAAGGAGAAGCAGGCACCTTCTTCACAGGGTGCCAGGATGGAGTGAGTGCAAGCAGGGGAAATGCCAGATGCTTGTAAAATCATCGGATCTCACGAGACTCACTCACTATCACAAGAATACCATGCAGCAAACTGCCCTCACAATCCAATTACCTCCACCTGGTCACACCCTTGGCATGTGGGGCCTATGGGGATTATAATTCAAGATGAGATTTTGGGTGGGGATGTAGCCAAACCATATCAGTGTGTGTTGTGTGTGTATGTGTGTATGTGTGTGTGTGTGTGTGTGTGTGTATGTGATTTTTTAAGCTTACTGTAGGGTGTTAATTTTTAAACAGACTATAGAAGACAAGAGAGTATGTCACAATGTTACGGCAAATTGGTGATTGGAATTTTCTGTGTCACCTGTGAGAGACTGAGCTGTTTCCAGTCACAGTTCACATCTTCATGAGAGACAAATGGTGGTAGGCATCTTTTAAAGTTCTCAAAAGTGTCTGAAAGAACAAAAATGCATTGACTTTGAATTTATTTTGTGAACTGTACCTTCCTCATCTGCTAGAAATAGATCCCTTTATAAGAAGCCTTAGCTATAAATACCAGCACGTTTACAATCATTTGTTACATATTTTTATTTCTTCACACAACCTAACAGTAAAGATCTCTAACATGTTTTAGATGTACAATAATCAGGAGAAAAGGAAGAACAATATTATTCCATCAACAAATAAAATAAATCTTTTTTTTTTTTTTTTTTTTTTTTTTGAGAGTAGAGTCTCGTTTTGTCTCCCAGGCTGGAGTGCACTGGCAAGATCTCGGCCACTGCAAGCTCCACCTCCTGGGTTCACGCCATTCTCCTGCCTCAGCTTCCCGAGTACCTGGGATTATAGGCGCCCGCCACCATGCCCAGCTAATTTTTTGTATTTTTTAGTAGAGAACGGGGTTTCACGGTGTTTAGCCAGGAATGGCTCTGATCTCCATGACTCAGGTGCGCCCGCCGTTCAGTCCGCAGATGCTTGGGATTACAGGCGGTAAAGCACCGCGCGCGCCGCGCCGCGGGCCAAAAGAGATAATCTTAAATTTAAAAATTTTATATATTAGCTCCGCTGAAATAGCCCAGCTTGGATGATTGGATACGTCCCCGCCGCTCACATAAAGAGTCACATAGGCTACTGTGGTGTATAGTTGTTCATGTCACTCGATTCTAGTCCAAGTCTAGAAGAGGACTTCCATATGTAGTTCCAGTCACCTTTTGCAGACTCTGCAAGTAACTTTAGTTTTGTCTTATTTGTCCATTTCTAATTTGAAACATGGGCACTGTTAAGGGCATGTTCACAGCTTTTTCAGTTAGTTCTGGAGCGTCTCTTAGTGGCAAAGGAGAACGGAGAAATCAAACCCAATGCTTGGTTAAATGTCAAATATGTAGTTCATGGAATCAAATAAATTACCTTAGCGAATTTGTAAATAACTCCTAGAACGGTAGTACTATCCATGTCACATTTATATTGGAACTAAGTTATAATGAGGTTTAAAAAATTGTCAAAAAATTAAAAACTTCCAAAGGGGTCATAGCTGTGCTAGCAGGAGTCTCCTGTTGCGCCAATAGGACCGATACCAGATCAGGTTTGAAAAGTGGGTTTGGTAATTGTATGAATCTTCAACCTCTTATTTGCACTGGATAAAAATGAATCCCAGCGAACTGAACAAATGACAGCAAGC